TATCATTGTTTGGCGGGCCCAGGCTGGATTCGAACCTGCCACCTTAGGTGTATGTGACTGGCGCCTTAGCCACTTGAGCCACAGGTGCCAAGCCAACATAATTTTTCTATATACAATTATATAATTGTATACAATTTAATTGATTTCAGCTCTTCCTGAAATAGAAATTCTGTTTCCTTCTTTCTGCTTGCTTTGCATTTAGCTTGCTTTCTCTTTATAGTTTGTTGAGGTACTTAGATTACTGACGAAAGATCTTTTTCTTTTGTTAATATAAGCATTTTAATGCTATAAATTTCCCTCTAAACACTGCGTTAGCTGTATCTCACAAATTTTTAAATGTTTTACTTTCATTTTCATTTAGTTCAAGATATTTTCTAATATTCCTGGAAGTTTCCTCATCGATTATTTAGAAATATGTTGTTTAATTTCCAAGTATTCAGAGATTTTACGGTTATCCTTTATTATTAATTTCTGGTTTAATTTTCTTTTGTTCTGAGAATATACTTTGTATGATTTTATATTTGTGCACCACCCACTGATCAGTATGTGACCTAGGGGTTGGTGTCCCTGTAGTTTCAGTTCATCGTCTTTGGTACACTGATTAGGATCAGATCCATATATGCACAGCTTTGGGAGTGAGCCAAAGGTTCATAAACTATTTTATTGGGGTTGCTTTTTCAAACTTTACCTTTTATACAGTCTTCCCCATACTTTGAGGTTTGCTGGGGCTCCCTTTAGTGGTCCTGTGCCCAAAAAAATGGAGGTCTTGTTGCCTATTCTGTCATCTATCTGTGCAACTGCACCCACATCCAGAGCCAAATGGAAGAAGAACAAAAGAAAAGAATAAATGCAATGAGAGTTGGCCCCACTCTCTTGAGATCATAGTTTTACCAGTCAGAAAGGTTTCCCTTCCTCTGTATTCCTAAGCATTCCCCCTTGTTTTATACCTTTTGCTGCAACCATTATGAAATTACTCAGGGGCTGTCTTGTGGCAGAAGGAAAAAAATACTGAATTTCCATATTTCCTCCAAGCATTAGGAATCCACTTTCCTATTCAGTGAGCCAGAGCTATAGGACTTCTTCTGGTGTTTCCTATCCACACAGACTATTTTCAGATTCTAAGTTAAGTTGTATTCAAATAAGGGAATATGGCAGGAAAAAAGTCTGGTATTTCAAATTTTGGGCTTCTTCCTCAGTGTGCCCACTACCATTTACTTTTTGGAGTCCTGAAATAGCTGCTTTATGCATGCTATTCAGGTATTATAGTTGCAGTTAGTAGGAAAGATAAGATAGAATGTGCTTATTACATTTTACCCAGGAACAGAGCCCTACTTCTCACTTTTGATTAAAGAAAGTCTTCCAAAGACTTTGTTTCCTGCATAGAGATCTAATTATTATGTGAAACCTAAAGGCAGTATGAGTTTCAGTGTGTTGTGTAGATTCCTGAAAGACCTACTGAAGGATAAACACAACTAATTTAAAACCCATATTTCCTATTTTTCTCTGACAATTCTTTTCATCATTGATATCTTCATCAACCTAGCCTTTTCTTTATTTTCTACTAAAATTATTATTACTTACGAAAGTAGTCTTAAATTTAGGATTAGGAGATAGTGTGTTCACATGAAAAAGAAATATGCATCGGTAGCAGCGCCCGTAGCTCAGTGGGTAGAGCACCAGCCACATACACCAAGGCTGGTGGATTCGAACCCAACCTGAGCCAGTTAAAACAAAAAAAATAGCCTAGTGTTGTGGTGGGCACCTGTAGTCCCAGCTACTTGGGAGGCTGAGGTAAGAGAATCGCTTAAGCCCAAGAATTAACATAGTGAGACTCTGTCTCAAAAAAAAAAAGAAGAAAGAAAAACAAATATGCATTGGTGTCAAGCGATTCAAGGTGGTAATAAAAATTACAGATACATGTGTACTTTGACCAGACATCTTTATTTGGTCCTACAGCTGATCCTGCAAATGTATAAAACAACATTAACACACTGATGCTTCACTGGTGCATTAAGAATAACGTCAAAAGATTTGGAAGCAACCCTAGTGTCCAACAGAAGATTCATTAAATAAGTAATGGTATAGCCACGTGCTGGAGTACTATTCAACTATTTTCTTAAAAAATCATAAAGATCTCTTTGTACTAAAGTAAAATAGATCTATAGAAGATATATGGTTAAGTTTTTAAAAATCAAGATGCAGGGCAGTGCCTGTGGCTCAAAGGAGCAGGGTGCTGGCCCCACATGCCAGAGATGGTGGCAAGTTGGCAGGTTCAAACCCAGCCCCAGCCAAATACTGCAAAAAAAAAACAAGATGCAGAGAATAAATATACACTGTATACCTCTAATTATATAAGAAAGGGAAGAAATAAGAATATATACTTATGTTTGTATAAAGAATCAGTGAAAAGATAAATTAAAAATTAATAAAAATGGTTTCGGGGGGGCAAGGGAAATGGGTAGATGAGGACAGGGTAGGAACAAAACTGCTTTAGCATATATCTTTTATATCAGGTTAAGTTTTAAAGCTGATATAAAAAATATTAGGTAAATTTTTATGGAAAGTGTTTCTTACCACACTGAATTTTTTTTAACTTTTTGTTACAGAAAATGTCAAACTTATTATAAAGAATAGAAAATGAGGCTGGGCATGGTGGCTCACACCTGTAGTCCTAGTACTCTGAGAGGCGAGCAGGTGGATCACCTGATTTCACCTGTTCGAGATCAGCCTGAGCCAGAGAGTGACCTCATCTCTAAATATAGCCAGCATCCTGGCAGGCACCTGTAGTCCCAGCTACTTGGGAGGCTGAAGCAAGAGAATTGCTTAAGCCTAAGAGTTTGAGGTTGCTGTCAGCTGTGATATTACAGCATTCTACCCAGGGTGACAAAGTGAGATGCAGTCTCAAAAAAAAAAATGAACACCATGTTGTACCTTTTACCCTGTTTCAAAACGTATCAGTATATGGTCAATCTTGTTTCATCCTACCTCAACCCACTCCACACCTTCCCCCACCCTCAACTTGATTGTTTTGAAGCAAATGTTACATATATCATTTCATCCCTATATACTTTAATGTTTAATTTTAAAGGATAAGAACTTTTTTAACATAACAGTATATAATTATTACACCTAAAAATTTAAGAATAATTCTTTAATAATTAAATGTTATTTTAATTTCCCTAGTTGGTTCATAAATGTTATAGTTAATTCGTTCAAATCAGTATCTAAATAAGGTCCACTCACTGTAATTGGTTTCTTAAGTTTCTTTTAATCTTAGGTTCCTCTTTCCTGTTTTGTTTTGTTTTAACTCCCTAGCAGTTTATTTAGAAAAGAAGATGGCTTTTTGTCTTACACTGTTTGCTGTGTTCTGGATTTTGCTGGATTTTGCCAATTGTTCCCCTGTAGTGTCTGTTAAACCTATTTCTCTGAATAGTCTCTAAAATGATAGTTAAATATAATGGTCTGAAAGATGTTTTTTGTTTTTATTATTCTGAAGTAGTTTTGGGCATATAATATGATACCTGGTTATCTGTCTCTGTGATGTTAAGGAAGTATCAGCTTCATACATCCATGATAACAATAGTTTACAAAAAGAAAAAGATTTCAAGATCAAATTTTAATTGTATACAAGATCTTAAGAAAGGAAGTGAGAAAAAAAGAAAGCTAAAAAGAGAAATAAGAGAATAAATGATACGTGTGCTTTATAGATATCAGTATGCAAGAGATTATGCAAGACTGTAAGTGACGTGTGTATATCAAAAATGACATTTGATAGGATATATACAAAAATTTGTTTAACAGATAGAATTAGTGAATATAGGAAAAAGAGACAGTCCTAAATGAGGGGATGATTTCTCAGAATTTTATTCTCTGAAAAAGCAAATTTCAGTTTTTGGACATGTTTCCTAAATCAGGATTGATGATGGTGAGAAGAATCCACGACCTTGAACTGAAGCTGTTATGAGCTTTGATGCAATAAGTTGAATGACAACATTTTTATGAGATGGGAGGCTATATACCTGAAAACAAATGTGTTCCAAGACTAAACAGTACCTGAGACTCTCTAGTATTATTGTAAAGGGCAGAAATGGTATTTAATAACTTTGCCCCCTTTCCAATTTAGATTACTCTAAGAGAAAGAAAAGTAATGTCAAAGGAAAGAAAAAAGCTGTGCTCAACTGAGTTGTAGTGATTGGACTGTGCAATATTGATTTATTGCCATAATTGTTCAGAGCTAGATTTTGCTGACTATTATAAATTCAGCTTACAACGTGTCAGAAATCCAAATCTGTTTTATTCTTAATAATGTGAATAGAATTTAAATTAATTCATAAAAAACTATTCAACACTAATGGGTTCTTGTTCCTTTGAGTAATAAGAAATATCATTTATATCACCACTCAGTCTTTTGGATCAATATAGGAAAAAAAAATTGTAATAGTCAGTGACTCGAGGCCACTAACCCTACATGATTCTCATTGCCTGTTCTCTGTTTCTCATGTTAAGACAAGCTGTTTGTTACTAAATTCTTTCATTTTAGTATTTATTTTGTATTTCAGGTATTTCAGTCTATGTCTGTTTGTTTAATACATTTCCCAGGCTGTAATACCACCTAACTTTGATTTATTCGAGGCTTCATCTTCCTTATTTGTTATTTTCCTTGTTTCTTTACTATTCAGGTAGAAATGTGTATCATAGATACAAAGCTGGTGCATACTCCAAAAGATACACAGAAGCTTGCCATTTTTGCCTTCTGGCACACCACCTGAGCACTATGCTAGGTTTCTGGGTTTTCTCTACACTGAAGTTTAAATCTGCTCTTTGCTTCTACACTGAAAAACTCCTGGCTTGGCGCCTGTGGCTCAAG